AGGAGAGATAACAAAAATGATAAATGCTTAAATCAGAAAATTTTCATTAACCCTGATTTTTTAAATTAAGGACTAATTGAAAGTTGGAAAAATGACTTAGGCAGTTGAAACCACTGATAGCATATTGTAAAATTAATAAACACACAAAATTAGTAAACTATAGAATAAAAATTCGAATATTAGTTAAATAAAACACATAGGAATTGAATTAAATTCCAATTAACTCCCAAATCAATTATATAAAATTGCTATTTTCCACACATTTTCTTTGATGTAAAGTAATCCACCGCAAAGCCACTTTCCATGATCATGCTCAAAATTGTTACTTAAGTTGAAAAGGAAGAAGAATATTACAGAAAGAGCAAAACTGAAATTTCTGACAATTAATTCAGAGCCAGTCATCACCACCTCAATCGCCACTCTGGCGAGGCACCGACCTTGCCACCACCCTCATGTCTCACTTCGTCTCTAGCACTCTCCCTATTTCCCTCACCTCTCTTCCTGGATACTGTGCTCTCTGCACATAAATAGCAAGGCGATCACCCAAGTGGCGATTGAAATTGTAACCACAATTTAACACACTCATTTCTAAATAATTCATGAATCAGTCAAGGCAAGTGGATCCACATAGTAAAATAAGTCTTGCAGTATGCATCTAGATTCTATTGAATTTACATCAACAGCCTGATGTCAATGGTTTAATACATGTTAGTGCCGTTCTTATAATAACATTCCCAATAGAATGTTCAACAAAGCTATAAACTGCAGTTTGTTATAAAGCATATCCAAAAGTAAATTGCAGTTTCCTCTCTCTGAGCATCCAAACAGAGCATACCGTATAAAAAGATTAAAATCTGGACTCTAGCACCTATCAAAAGTTTTCAAAAAAATAAAAATAAAAAATAAAAAAACCTAAGGAAATAACAATTCGGAAAGAACAAAATGAAACAAAAAAATTGAAAACAACAAAATCATAAAAGAACCAACAGAGTCCAAAGTACAATGCGGACTAGAAGCTTCCTCAAAACATTTTCCAGAGCACTAACGAACATTTCCTTTAAAGACATACTGCGGTATAAGTGCTGTTATATAGCATCACTTGGGAATGGGATTTGGATTAGAGGCCAACCTTCCCATAATCAAGAGGAATGATGTGAAAACCAGCAGGTAGAAGAGGTGTATCATCAGCAAAAGAAGCATCAATTGGAGCAAAAAAGAGTTCAGCACAGGAACCCACAGCATTCTCATCCATTCCACTGTATTAAAAAAAAACACAGCCATGGAATTTAAGTAGAATAACAAATAAGTTACAAAATAAACATCGAATAAACTGGATAGACAATACGACATGATTGGTTTTTGAATAATTTAGAGATGAGCAATTCAAATTCCAATCCAAACTCAAACGCCAAATAAACCAAAATAGCAAATTGAGTCTTCTGCTATCAATAATCCCAATATCGAACAGAGCATACAAATTCTATAAGCCCGAAAGTTACTGAAACCAAACCTATTATAACTTCAATATAATACAGAAATACCAAATTCAATACTTTCAATAGTTATTCAAATTCAATAACTTTAGAATATAAGAATACTACATTCAACGCCCATACAATCCAATCTATTTTAATAACCCCAGAAGTTTAAATTGCTTACCTTGAGTATAGAGGGATTTGAAAGATGACGGACCAAAGTTTGAGCCTGGATAAAAAAAACCCTCAAAATCTGAGAAATTACAACAACAAAAAACTCCAATAATTACATATTTTTCAATGTAGAAATCGAGAAACAAAGCATGTTGTGGATAAAAGATATTAGATGATATTCCACACAACTACAGACAAATACTAATATCAAAGGAAATATGTTACATGAACTGCCATCGGTCACACATCCAAACACCTCATCCAAGACCCTATATTCAGTAACCAAATAAAAAGCGAAACAGAAACAGAAGCTCAATTTCTCAGTACCACTTTTGGTACAGCTCGGTAACAGCTTGGGGCGGACACTCCATGCCTAAGCTTCCACGCTTGTCCCGGCACCTGAGACTGCCCATTTCAAACATACATAGGCAACTACCAAACCATAACATTCTTTATTAATTACTTGAAACATAGAACAAAAAATCCCAAAACAAAAATTAAAACTACACAAAGCATGCACATTGGATTCAAAAATATATCAACTGATTGCAAAATATGGCGAAAGTTTGATCGAATACCTAAGCTACTTTACAGCGAACAGTCCCCCAAATCATTGCTCTTCAATTCTTGAGGACCTGACCTGAAAGATTCCAAATTTCCAACCAAATCAGCACCATTAGTGACCGAAAACCACAACTATAATTTCGGAAATAAAATAAGAAGCTTGGATTAAGCTCTGAGTTCTTCTGACCATCACAAGGACAGCAGTAAGATATGAAATTTGGTTTTATCAATGCAGTCCAAATTAGGTACAACAGATTTAAAAAATAATAATTTGAAAATGTAAAGATAAAACAAAATACCAGTGCATGATATTTTCTTTGTTGCTTCATTCCAAAGAGGAAGGCTTATCATAAGCTTCAGGAATCTGTAAAAGAAAGGTAAGCATATGAAATCTCTAAATAAAATTGAAATCGAAATTCTAATTTCTAAAAGAAATTGAAAACAAATTAAGATTAGATTATAAATTGAGCATATATTAAGAGTAAATTAAACACTACTTTATCAGGAACTAAATTTATTGCGTATCACCGCTTCTTCTCACCTAGGATCAGTTTAATATTTTAAACAAAGGTGACGCAGATTGTTGCTTTTGATCATCTTGCTTCCTTTCTTTAGAGTTTGAGAAGCCCCTGTTAAAAACCCATCACTGATATTAAAATTATCTATTTGGGAAAATTGGATATGAGTGAGGGTACTGACCTTCGCCGGGCATGTCGCGTTCGAAATTGGAAGAGTTCGAGATGTGATTTTGGTGGAAAATGGGCAGCGCTGCAGAGAGAACAAAGCAAGTCCATGTTTCTGTGGAATCGAAATTGCAGAAATCAAACGATGTAGATGAGGATTTGGAAGATTCCGGATTCAAGAAAGAGAAGATAAATTTACCTTTGGGAAGAGTGGTGACCGCTGCTGTTGAAACTGAAGAGATTTTGGCAGATGAGTCGAGAAGGAAAACAGTGGGAGTCGGCAACTCAGAATTTCAGCCAAACATACAGAGAATACGAAGAAACAAATAGTATGTAAGATGCCGAGAAGAAAAAACCGGGGAAGGATAGGGTTTTACCTGAGGACTCGAGCTGGGTTCTGAGAGAGAAGTCGAGATGGGTTCTAGTCGAAGTCGCAGAAGACGCACCAGAGGCACTTGCCGGAATTTTGAAGATTTCACAGAGTTTGATTTGAAAGAGAAAAGAAGGGAAAGGTGGGTTTGGTGGTGAGTGATGGGGTGAAAAGAAAGAAGTCTCTGGAAAAGCCCAGTTTTTCCCCCAGCTTTTAAATTAGATGAGCGTGCTGTTGAATAGAGGAAGCCGAAGAGAGGCTTGGGTAGGCCACAATCGTCTCATTCAGTGTTCTCCAGTTGCAGAGAGCCATTTTTGAGATTTTCGAGAGAGAGTGGAATGAGATGGACTCCCTCCCATCCCAGACGATCAACACGCGTCATTGCAACAAATTTATTTCCATCATCCACAGAAGTTAAAGGATCTAAATTAAAAAAACTATATATACTAAAAGCCAGATGAGTCTAGCACTGTTTAGAAATAGTAAAATGACGAAAATGCCCTTCAAATAATTTTCTCAACTGGGTTTCTCTCGGCTTCTGTACAATGAAAGGGCTGTTTTGCCCTTTTGATTCCACGCGTCCATCATCCGTGTATGTTTTGGCTTTGGTTATTTTGGATCTTTCTTTTGCTTTCGCCTATTCTCTCTCGCATATGCTTTGTTTCTCGCCGTCTTTTTTCCCCGCCTTCGCTTATGTTTTCTTCATCGTGTTGCTTCGTTGTTCAAAACGTCGACCATTTTGCTTAGTTGTTCTTCAATTAATGGTCACAGTTGTTAAATTCTCTGCCTTTTTGGTTCGATTCCAATAATTTTTTGGGTTTTTGGTTTGTTGGATTCGGGTTTTCCAAGTAAGTTTTACATATATATTACCGCACGGGGTTTCGATTTTCCATTTTTTTTGGATTCTTTTTGTTAATATCTCATGGGCTTTGCTTTTTTATTTCAGAAATTTTGTGCCCATCTTGGGTTCACTTCGGACTTGGTTGCGACCGATCTAATCCGACATTTCCAGGTGAGTTTTGCATGTTTATCAGCTTATATGGTTTCGATCTTTAGTTTTTCGTTGGATCGTTGTTGTGCGTGTCTGATGCGTTTTGTTTTCCATATTTGGGAAACAGTCCCCTTCAGATTTTTGGATTTTCAATTCTGATTCTTGGAACTCTCTGTGCTAAAGGTATATAAATGTATTATTTGTTTTTTCCTTTGTTCCCTTTGCGGCTGAATTTTTTTTTTTTTTAGGTTTTGTTTTGGTGATTTGGGACCTTTTTTGTGCGTATTTGGGTTGTTAATTGGTGAATCTATGGGGTTTTGTGATTTTGGGTTTAGGAATGGGTTTTATGTTGAAATTTCCTTTTTGTGATTTTGGATTTAGAAATGGATTTTCATTTGAATTTTTTTTTTTTTTTTTTTTTTTTGGTGACTTTGTGGATATTGGGTTGTTGATGAGATCCAAGGGCGGAGATCAGGATGAGAAGAAGATATTGAGAGGTTTGGTTTCATCTTCTACTCTCTCTCCATAATCGTTAATCCCCATTACCTTTCAGTTTCATCTTCTATTCTCTCTCACTCTCTCGCTCTCCTCTGCTCTCAGATGGCTCTTGAGGTCGCTGTCAAGGCCGCCTTGGGCGCCCCTCATCTTCTCGGCGACTGTACGTGCACAATTCTCTCTATTTCCCTCGATTTCCTTTCTGGGGTTTGATCAAATTTTGCTACTTTGGTATAATTTTCCACTAGGATGCATGGACACGGATACGGATACGGGGATACGACACGATACGACTCGGGGACACGTTAAATTTCTAAAAATGAAGACACGATACGTTAGGGATACGGTAATTAAAAATATAAATAAATAAATCTAAAATATTATAAAATAAGCATTCAAATTTATTACTCAAGTTCAAATTTATTTCAATAAACTTCAAACAACTAGAAAGATAGTCCATCCAACAAGCAATTAGTCTTCAAACTTTGAAAAATTAAAATGAACAGTTTCGAGAAAATTAAAAAAACATATAAACAATAAGAGCTCAATCCACTTCAGAATAATATATTATAATATACAAAATACAATATTATTATTATTATCATATACAAAAAGTTAAAAATAGAGATCAGAAAGGCAAAAGGCTTTTAGTTTCAGAGATGAGAAAAGCAAAGCAAAAGGGGCTTGTAGTTTCAGAGATGGGTTTTACCTCGAGGAATCAGTTAAGCTTTGAATATTTCAATGATCAGTGAAGCAGAGGAGTAAGCTTCGAATAGCTCTCACCAGCTGTTGCAGACGGAGACGACAGAGACGACGGAGTAGTTGCAGACGATGGTCAAGCACGATTCTGATTTCTGAGGTTCAAGCGAGGAAAATTAGGTAAATCCGAATTTTAGTTTAGCTAATTTCAATCAAGCACGATTCTGATTATCCTCCGATTTCAGTTGAAACGTATCTGAAAAGTGGGATACCCGTATCTCCACAGTACGATACACGTATCTCATTGTTCAACAACGTATCCCTTCACTCCGATACGTATCGGGCGCGTATCCACCCGTATCTTATGCGTATCCGTATCCTCGCGTGTCAGATACGGGATACGCTGCTTTTCCCCCGTGTCCGTGCATCGTAGATTTTCCATCTTTTGCTTCTGACAGGCCTTTTCAGCCAAAGGGTTCTTTTGACCTTGGAGGAGAAGAAAGTGCTCTACAAATTGCACTTAATTAATCTCAGCGACAAACCCAGTGGTATTTTACTTGGTTTGAATTTTTGATCCCGAAAATACATGCAAGCATAGATGGAAATATGTGATTTTTGTACTTTTAATGGATTTTGGTGTTTTTTTTGGAGTGTCTGAGGAATTGGGTTTGGGGTTTTTGTTGGTGATTTGTAGGTTTACGGAAGTGAATCCAGAGGGGAAGGTGTCTGTCATTGAGGATAAACTTTTTGTCTTCAGGTTAGCACTATTGCTTTTTCCTACCAGTCATTGGTGTGCTAATAGTGTTGAGAACAATGCCTAATTTAGTTTAACTCTTCTCATTTTGATAATTACCTTTTCCACTGCCTTCTTGAACTTGGAATTAGTTTGATAGCATTTTGGTTTTAAGCGTTTATAAAAATATTTCATTCCAATGAACAAGTCATTGATCTATTAACTCTTATTTGTTGAAGATTTAGTGCTAAAAGCTATGAGTTACAAGTATTACATTCCATTCACCAAGTCATTGATATATTTAATTCTTATTCGCTAGAGGATTGAGATTTTAACTCTTCTCATCTTTGCTGCAGCCAATAACAATAATAAACATTCTCCATTGCTTCACCCGCTTCTACCAACAAATTGAAACCTAAACATTAAAATTTCATGACAACGATTTCACCCATTTATCATAAAATTGGTAGACATAACTTCATACCATCTCAAAGCAGAAATAAAGGTTTTAATTTTCTTTTACTCCGTTATGCTCACTCTCTGTTTACTTTTCCTCAATTTAAGTCTCCAAACAAGCTACTGGTTGTAAGTCCTATCAATCTTCAATTTTTATTTTTCTTGCTTTGATTTTAGTTCTTTTATTACTAATTTTAATCACTTGTGTCCACTACTGATATCTTGGTATGTTAGATTGAAAATGTGTCCCTTTGAATTTTAAAATCTGGCAAATTATTTGAAGCAATTTTGATTTTAGCTTTATGGACTTTACAAATAGGAAGATGAGGAGACAAAAAGAAGTACAAGGGGATGCATTTAGCTTCCACTTTTGAGGTTCCAGGCACCCAAAATCTGTTAGACTGGTGAGCTCAACAAAAAAAAAAAAAAAAAAAAAAAAAAAAAAAATCTCATTTTGATATAAAGTTTGGATTTTCAAGTCTAGATTGGATTTAATTTTACATTTAATTTGATGGGTTTGATTTATATGCAAGGACTTTGCTTTTATTAATGCATAAAATATTAATTAAATTTTAATTAAGATGCTAACTTTGTAGGTACCCTGGAATTAACAATGTAGCTGGAGTTCTCCACTGGCTTAAGCACAGTGGAGAACTCAAGTACAGAACTCTCTATCTGTTTCTCAATCCTGGAACCTTTGGCCTCCGCAAGAAGGTTCGTGTCTCTTTCTCTCTCTCACTTTTTTTTTTTAATTCGTAATCGAATTTCCTTTGCGTAAATGATAGATCTGTTGCAGTGGGGCTGCAAATCCTACCCTCTGTTTGTTACTTTGTTCCAATTGTTGCAATCAATTTTTCATCGTTTATTTGGTCAATTCTTCCATTGTTTTATTTGGTGAATTCTCGATTAACGACTAGTTCTTCTTGCTTGGTCTAATTAGGTAACTTAAGAATTTCATTTGTAAATTAAATTTCATGTGAGAATTTTTTTGTCCAGATGGATTTTTTTTTACCATTATTCAATTTTTTTTTTTAATTATGTAGCCGATGAGTTCAGTATTCCCTTGGAGTCTCTGCAAGTTTAAAGTAATCTATGTTGTTATTTTGATTGTGCATTTGGTGACTGACGCTATTTTAATTAGAATGTTTTCAATTTAGTGTCATCTTAATCTCAATGGGTTTTTATGATGCACGTTATCAGTGAATTTATCTACATTTTTCAATGTTGGTCTCGACGATTGTGATCACTGCACTCTGGATTTTGTTTGAATTCCCAAATTTTGTCGAACATTTGACAAGTGCTCCTTCAATAAATTTCAAGTAAAGAACGTCTAAATATGACAATTTCAGGGTTTCAAATTCATTGGAAAATATGAAATAATATTGCATAATCTTTGATTAATGGGAAAAATTGGTACTTTTGTAATGATATATGCTTTTGGAGAAAGTTGTAAAGTTTGATACTTTCCAGCTTTAATCTAATTTTTCCGTTGTCTTAAGGTATAGATCCCTGCATTTAATTTACTTTTTCTTTTCAGGAGCAATAGTATTAAAATGCTGTCATTTGGTATAGATGATCGTGGTTTAGCAAGTTGATAGCGAGATGGATGTAACAACCCGTCCTGGGATTTACGGAAGAAAATGGGTATTTTTGTATTTTTACTAAGTTTGGGGGATACTTTCTTTTTTTTTTTTTAAATTGTTTTTGAGCCTTAATTGGTGAGCCCAAGGGGTTCCCTGGTTCCTTTCCCTTTCCCTTTTCTTTTATTTTTTTTCTTCTGAAAAGTCTCTCTCTTCTCCCTCACTCTCTCTTCTCTACCCGTGCTCTCTCCTTTCCCCCTTCTCGGTGCTCTTTTCTCCGACAAGAACACACACACACCCATGCCCACACTTATAGCTCTTTTCTAACCCCGTGGTTGTGTTTTGGACGTCAAACCATGAAGAAACCACCTCGAAGACATTTCCCTAGTTTTCCGGCGAGCACCGCCCCTTTCGAGGTAATTTCCGCCCAAACCACGGCGAGTTAGCCGGCGTACAAGTTTCCAGCGAACACCCGTGGCTTCCAGGTTGTTTTTCGGTCAACTTCGACCACGATGACGGGAACCAAGGGGGCAATTATCTGTGACGTTTCCTTCTTCGCTAGATGGCGTGGTTTTTCGACGGCAAAGTACTGTGAGTGGACCCCTTCTAAAAATGCATGTTTTGATAGTATAAATGCATACACGAAAAGCATGATTTGATGATTATGTTTTATGAAACGTTTTACGAGATAACATGTTTACTGAGGCTAGTTTGAATTATTACTATTTTTCCTATAATCCATGTTCTTATAGAATATCTGATGGATGATATGATATTTAGAACACCTCTTTATAGTATAGATGATGCATGACTTTATACTATGAAGTTGATTTTCAATATATGTATGTTCACTGGTTTTGTACTACCTAGTGGTCATTTCCGCTACGGGACGTAGGGATAGATCCGGTCCGTCCCGGGCGACGGTTTGGTGTTGGCATAGAGCCTGAAGTGTGTTTCCTCTGGCTATTTAGCACAGGGACGGGGAGTCGGCATAAGGCCTGAAGTGTATTTTCCTCTGACTGTCTGCTCAGAGATGGGAGCCGGCATGGGGCCTGGAGAGTTATATCGGACATTCACTAGTGATTATTATATATACAAGTTATGATTTGAGACATTGTACGACATGTTAGGTTTCGGAAAACCTATGTTTATCATTATATTTGTGTTTTCATAAAACCTGGGGGTTAGTACGTTGATAACTGTTTTATTATATATACATATATCAACTTGGTCCACTTATGTTTGTTTTGCGCCCTCTTCAGGACTTAGAATCGAGGCATACAATCCTGATGTCCAGGTACTTCCGCATCGGCATCTTCGAGTCCTCTCGGTGTAGGACCCACTGAAGGGAAATCTATGAGATTCATGTGGGATTTCTAGTGACTAGCATGCATATACAATTCAAAATTTATATACGAAAGCAACGGAAGCATGTCATACATTTTATCAAAGCTATAGTCATGCAAATCCCCTTCAAGATGCATAGGTTTATATAAGATGCATCAAATCAAAATTTATAAGAAGAACAAACTAGAGGTTTAGTTTTATACCTCTTGATCTAGATCTTAGACCAATGATGGACCATCTCCAAGATCTTTGCTCCTCAAACTCCTTGAGCCTAGCCTCCCTCCTTGCTTCCTCCACTTTGTAAAGTAAGTGCTCCTAGGTTCTCTTCAAGTTTCCAAAGATATGAAAACCTCTAAAGATCCTCACCCACTTTGTAATGAGAAAGATGAAGGAATAACCAAAAGGGTGTATAGATGATTAGTTAAATCACCCCCTTGGTGGCCGGCCCTTTGTGTTCAAGAGAGAGCTTTTCTTTTTCTCTTTTGTTGTTTTAGAACACATCAAAACCCTAATGAACTTTGTGTTATAAAGTTCCTTTTATAGACAAAAGAAACAAGTCAACATTTTAACCCATCTCTCCCTTGGTGGCCGGCCATATGTGTTTGGTTTGGGCTTTGGGCTTTTAATTATTTCAAGTCATCCAATGCTTGAATAAAAGCCCAATGGGCCTAATTAAACCCGAACGTTTCTTTAAGCCCAAAACGATCTTTATCGCTTTTATGATTTCTTTAGACTTTCTAAATTAATCAAAACACTTAATTAATCCAATTAATTATTTCCTTCATCCATTAGTTACTCACTACAAGAGTGTATTGGTGAACAATCTTTTAGGTTCTAATTAGCAAGGCAGTGAGGTGATTGGCACCAATCCAATTTATTATCCAATCACTTAGTGAATTAAAAACTTACTTTTAATTCACCTTCCTTTTGATGACTACATTTAATCATCTAGAAGAACTCAGAAGCCATGAGTGACATCTAACCATATATCATGGCTACCCAAGCTAATGTAGAAGTTATTCGGAGAACCTATTCAGTTGGAATTACAATGTAATTCGATCCTTCTCTAAAACAATACTCTCAATCACATTACTAGGGTATGGATTTATAATGTCAAACCCCTAATGTGATTATTCCTTCTTATATGATTCACTTGAGACGTATAGGAACGCTTTCCTTTATTACGCTCGATACTTCGGCCGAAGATTTCTGAATCATATCTTAGAGTATTCATCCTCTCTTATCGAGGATTAGAGATTCCTTGTTGCGCATTCACTTGCCTTCATGACTAAGTGGCTTAACCCCAACGATGCCTTGGACACTCGCGAACGGAATGACTTTAACATAATCAAAGATTAAGTACTTAACCACAAGACAACGACGATGCCTCAGGTCAAAGGATTACTTACATTATTCCAACCATTAGAGTTACTTGCTTGACATGTGAGTAGACCTCCATGCAAGTACTCTCGTTCGATTGTGTTCAGTGAACTCATTCCCTTAATGAGCACCTACATACTTGTCTTAGTGTCGCTACACGAATGGGATGAGACTTTCCATCCTTCCAATTGAAGCGGACATAGTATGTACCGGTCTATGGATTGTCAGTATCCCTTCGACAATCCTATGACCAGGAACCTTTTTGGACATGATGGTTATGAGAAGAAGGTCTCTGTAATCTAACATCATTAGGTTACTTCTTCCATCGATCCATTGTCCATGGATTCACTATTTAGGACATATTTTTGTTCATTGAGATAGTCCTAATTAGTATCTTTGCCTTCCGATGTATAAGAGTCATATATATACATCAATTCATTGTCCTGAAAGGTTTCTTCCAAAGATTGACTTTCAGGGCATATTTCCAACACCCACTCCTTTGTTTCATTCAATTTTATATTATTTTCTTCTAGTGTTCTAGATTAGAGATGTGCTCTGAACACGGTCCTTATTTGCATATTCATTATTCTTTTATATTTATAAGCCTTATTTATCCCTTGTTTTCAGCATTTGCACTCAATAAATGGTTTTCGTCACCCTCGGGTGTTGGCCAGCACGTGCCTATCCTGGTATTTGAGGAATATCGGGGTCGGGACGTGTCAATGGAACACTCCTAACTGTGTTGTAAGTTCGACTCACTCATCCTATAATAGTTGCTTCATAATTGTAATATTCAAAACTAGATGGCTTTTTCAGTTATGGTTCGATTATTATTTTCCTTTTCAATTGTTATTCTTCATTTTTGATGTGGTTGCTGTTTGTGATTTCCATTCAATGTGATCCATACTCAGTTTTCTTTTCAGAATTCCTCTCTTTGCCTTTTCCCAATGTTAATATTTTTCTCCATGATAGAAATTTTATGGTCCATGTTAATATATATATATATATATATATATTTTTTTTTTCAATTTAGATCGTACAAGTTAAAGGTATTGATGATGGAATTAAATTCAACGTTGCTCATTGTTCCTTATTGTAGATAAGGTTGTATAGGAGCAAAATGTAGCACCACAGCATCGCACGGGCAGTCTTGCTAGTAATAACTATAAATGGACATTCATCACTAAAAATGAAAATCATAGACCCTAAAACTTCCAACATGGTGAAAAATATAAACATTGCGAAATTGGAATAGAAATCAATTCTAAAAAGAAACTGAGAAGAGGGATTACATTGAATGGAAACCATAAACACAAACTGAAACAATTCTTATAGAATGAGCCAGTCGAACTTACAGTGTAGTGAAGAGTGCAATCTCGCTGCCAATTTGCTAAACCAAGACTACCTACACCAAATCAGAACATTTTAATCCTTGAATCAGTTATATTGGATGACGCTAAGCATGCATAGTTAAATTAGACGATGACTTGGAACATCTGCTTAAAGCTCAAAAGTACATCACTTCAATTAAGAATATCTCGAGACTATCTCTAATCATTGGTTAAACCATGTCTTGGAACATCTCCTTAAAGCCCCGAATTTTAATTGGTAAAACAGGACAAAGAACTTATAGCTTCAACTGTTAAAGGAAAGAAAATCCCATGATCTTATTGTGAACTATTCTAGCACTTGGTGATTAGTCAACTCTTGGGCTAGAGTAATTGTAGGATGTAAATACAATTAGCTTGATTGTAGGTTCTGTTTACTCTAAACAGCTTATAGCTTATGTATAAATCGATCTCCATGTATCAATATTTCATATTAATGAAATACACAATTTCTCATGGCATCAGAGCACCAATCTTGGTGACTCTATTACACTTCCGCCACAATAAGCTTTCCTAACCACCAAAATCCGAACACAGCTTTTCCTCAAACACCATAGCCACCACAATGGCAGAACTAACCCAACTTGAAATCAAACCAGACGAGAATTCCATGGAGTTCTCAGACTCATATACCTTACACCACTCAGATCATCCGGGACTAATCCTAGTTTCCAAAACACTTGATGGAAACAATTACGGACAATGGAGTCGTGTCATGCGCATGGGTCTTAGTGCAAAGAACAAGATCAGATTTATCGATGGAACCATTAAGGCTCCAACACCCTTAAACACGAAACATGCAGCCCGGAAGAGATCTAACGACATGGTTACACTGTGGATTGTAAACTCAGTCCACTCACACATAGCAGGCAGCATCATGTACACCGAAACCGTAGCTGCGGTTTGGAACGATCTGAGGGACAGATTCTCACAAAGCAGCGACTCAAGAATCTATCAAATTAGACAAGAAATTGTCAAGAACCGCCAAGGGCAGTTCATTGTTTCTGCCTATTACACCAAGATGAAAGCATTATGGGATGAGTTAGCGTCCTATCATGACCCACTCGCTTTCACTTGTGAGGGTTTGAAAAGGCTTGCTGAGCAAAAGAGAAGGAAAGAGTTATGCAATTCTTCATGGGATTGAACGACTCTTACTCAGTTGTACGAGGCTCGATTTTGATGATGAGTCCACTTCCGGATACACGCCGAGTTCATGGCCTAATTCTCCAACACGAACGGCAAATGGATGTGGCAAGCCATCGTGAACTGGGGACGAGTTCTCATGCAATGCAGTTCAGCGCCCCCCAGCGCCGTCATCATCTAATGACAGGTTTCCCAACCCTGCTGCAAGTTCATTCTCACGCAAATCACTTAAGTGCACTTACTGTGATGGAGATGGGCACTTGGTGAACAGATGTTATTACATCATTGGGTTTCCAGTGGGCCACAAGTGGCATGGCATGAATGTGAAGCCTAAGAACAGGAAATCAGCAGCCCATAATGCCGAGATCACCAAGCCTGCTGCACCAACCATTTCCAACGGTCCAACTTTCACTACTGAGGAATATAATCAGATAATTGCCATGCTCCGCAACGGTAATGGTCAACCACTCGCAAATGCGACAGGTATTTTCTCACCTACATGCAATATAACACAAAAGGATGCACACTCGACTTTATATTGGATTGTTGATAGCAGAGCAACCGATCATATATCTCATTCACCACCAACTCACAACATCGTTGATACTCAGCATGACTTTGTTGGCTTACCAAATGGGGGGCAAGCGGAAATACAAAATATTGGCTCAATAAAATTGTCGCATGACTTATCTCTTGATAAAGTTCTTTATGTACCAAAGTTCCACGTCAATTTGTTGTCTGTTAGTAAGTTGACAAGAGTTTTGCGGTGTCTAGTGACATTCTATCCAGATTTTTGTGTTGTGCAAGACATGGATACGAAGAGGATGATTGGCCTGGGCAAGCATTTTGATGGGCTATACTACCTTACACCAAGTCAAAATCCTCACCTCGCCAACCATATTACCCACACCACAAGTCTTTGGCATTGGCGCCTCGGGCACCCCTCATCCTCACCCTTACTCTCGTTAGCTAAGAATAATACTGAAATAATGTTTGATTCCAAACACCTTTGTGAAATTTGTCCTTTAGCAAAACAAACTCGATTACCTTTTTCTACTAGTACTATTAAATCTACTGCACCGTTTGATTTAATTCATTGCGACATTTGGGGGCCTCACAAAATTCAAACACATTCATGGGCACGATATTTCCTTACTATTGTGGATGATTTCACTCGTTTTACATGGGTACATCTTATGAATTTTAAGTCAGACACACAAATGTTATTGAAATCATTTTTTTCTTGGGTGAAGACCCAGTTCCACATCAACATTAAGGCTCTTCGTGCTGATAATGGTGGCGAATTCCTTTCCATGCGTTCTTACCTAGACTCTTGTGGCACTACTTTCCAACATTCTTGCCCTTACACACCACAACAAAAAGGGGTAGTCGAACGCAAATATAGGCATCTTTTAAATGTAGGTCGTGCTCTCCGTTTTCAGGCCAACTTACCTTTAAAATTTGGGGGGGGGGGGGAAGTATTCAAACTGCTTGTTATCATATAAATTGCCTACCTACACCCTTGCTCTCTCACAAGTCTCCCTACAAGATTTTACATGGCAAACCACCCCTTTATGAGCACTTACGAGTTTTTGGATGCCTCTGTTACGCCACCAATCTCACACCCACACGCAAATTCGACATTCGTGCTAGACATTGTGTTTTCATTGGTTACCCTCTTCGCCAAAAAGGTTATATAGTATATGATCTAGCCATCCAGAAAAATTTCCTGTCCCGTGACGTTACATTCCATGAACAAATTTTTCCTTATGCCACTTCACCACCCACAGACCAAAACGATTTTCCCATTTTACCAATCCTTCATTCATCATATTGCCCCAATGAAGACAATGACCCACATGAATCCACCATTCCAAATGCAAATGAAGCCCACAAACCACATGCAACCAATAACACAAATGAAACCCATGGCCCATCCGACATTATCATTCCCACCCATCTACCTGATACCCCCACTGCCCAGATTCCCATTATAAATAGACTTCCAACAACTATTTGTGACATTGGTTTTTGTCGATCTAAGGCAGATTACTCTTTGTTCACTCAAGTCAAGGGCAATTCTCTCACTATTGTGTTGTTATATGTTGATGATATGGTCATTACAGGAAACAATGAGGCTGAAATCAACAACCTGAAGGCATTTCTCAGCAGTCGATTTCGAATTAAGGATCTCGGATCCTTGAAATATTTTCTTGGAGTTGAGGTTGCGCGTTCGAAAGCCAGAGTCATGATTTGCCAAAGAAAATACACACTAGACATATTGGAGGAGGTTGGATTGCTTGGTGCTAAGCCTGCGAAGGTACCCATGGAACCTGAGTTGGTGTTAACACCCACAGGTAGTGCTTCACTTCATGAACCTGCTCGATATAGACGCTTGGTTGGAAAATTAATTTATCTAACAATCACGAGGCCAGAAATTGCATATACCGTCAACTCCTTGAGCCAGTTTATGCAAGATCCTCAAAGACACCACCTTGATGCAGCATATCGACTTCTTCGATATCTCAAAGAGGCTCCTAGACAAGGTTTGATGTTCTCTTCCCAAGGCAACTTACAATTAACTGGTTATTGTGACGCGGATTGAGCCGTTGTCCCACTACACATCGATCAGTGACCGGTTATTGTATCTTTCTTGGCAAATCACCAGTGTCCTGGAAGAGTAAGAAGTAAGTCACGATGGCCCGTTCATCCATAGAAGCGGAGTATTGATCGATGGCTGCAGCCACTTGTGAATTAAGCTAGTTGCGGCACTTGTTGGAGGATTTACATGTTAAGCATCCCCAGTCAGCAAAGTTATTTTGTGACAATCAAGCCGCCTTATACATTGCTGCAAATCCCGTGCATCACGAGCGTACAAAGGACATTGAGATCGATTGTCACACTGTCCGTGAACGAATCCAAAAGGGAGAAATCAAGACTGCCTATGTTCGAACAGGGGAACAAGTCGCTGACTTGTTTACTAAACCACTACGCACGCCTGTTTTCCATTCGCATCTAAGCAAGTTGGGTGTCATCAACATCCACACTCCAGGGAGTGTTAAAGGAAAGAAAATCCCATGATCTGATTGTGAACTATTCTAGCACTTGGTGATTAGTCAACTCTTAGGCTAGAGTAATTGTAGGAGTAAATACAATTAGCTTAATTGTAGGTTCTGTTTCCTCTAAACAGCTTATAGCTTATGTATAAATCCATCTCCATGTATCAATATTCATATTAATGAAATATACAATTCCACAATTTCTCACCAACCAGTAATCAAACAGTACTGAAATAAGCTACAATAATAACTGATATGAAAAGGAAACCAAAATATAGGAATACCATATTAATTTTCAAATCTTACCACCAGTCTATAGGGTGTGTCTGAAGCTTGTGTCTGACCATGGCTCAGTCTTTGCTTTGTTAGTAACTTAACCGTCAAATCTTTCAACTGCAATGATCAGTTGAACACGATTAGAGAAAAACCACATATGGAAAAACACACAACTTTCAAAATGCTCATGGAATCCACAATAGAAACTTTTCACTTTGCTTCTATCTGCAAGATACCAAAAGGATATTAACGATGAAGGGATGATAACAAATCTCATTAAAGAACGCACTGTATTCATTACCAAAGTGTTAACCTGGTGAAAGTATAAAATATTACGGATTTACACAGCCAAATTCTACACTTGTTAATTATAATTAGTGAAATAAACAGTAATCTACAAAACAATAAATATAAAAATAGTTATTCAAGTTGATTTCGCAATTTCTGAAGGTTTAAAGACCGGAGCATCAGATATTTGTTGAATTTAAAACTTTGTGTGATCTTAATCCACTTATTAAATACAAAATACAACAATATAATCACTTTGCTATCACATTATGAATTACAGTTAAACGCATTGGCAAGATGTTAATCGTAGAGGAAACAAAATAAAAAACAGATTACGGAACAAATCAGTAACTAAAATCAGTTGGCATCTGAATTAACGTCCGAATTATCAAACAATTCCTAAGAATCAATTCCAATGCGAAAAACAACGATTCGGCTAAAGAATAAATCCCAGAACAGGCTGCAATTAAATTAACTTCTATGATGAGGAGAAGACAAGCTAAAAAGCAACTTTTCGGTTACATTCAAAGGAAAAAAAAAAAACAATTGAAGCAGCACAAAATTAGTTTGAAAACAATAATAAATTATTGAAGATCATAACATTATGCAATTACAAACTTCATAAGCAAGCAAGGCAATGGACAAAACTCACAAAGGATCCCAAAACCTCTGAGAATTCTGAAATTTTTCGTTTTTTGGCGTACCGAAACAGAACTAAAAGGTGTGATCTAATCAATTTGAAAAATCTCAAGAATTCACATATCATTATAAAACCAAATTCATCATCAAGATTAAGAGCAACTGAATAACACAATAACAACCCTTCCTAATTTGTCCCCACTTTTATTCTTTCGAAGAGGTTCTAGTTCACAGAAAGGAAATCATTTTCCGTCACATTTTATTATGTTCCGCTTATCTTCTGCTGACTGCACCTGATGGTTACCTCTAAGGCCTTTGACGTTTCTAGACAAAAAGGGGGAGAAGTAGGATGCTTATATTTAGGGGGAGAAGTAGAATTTTGAAAACCTGGTTGTTTTTTTTTTGGTTGCTTGCTTTTATAGATAAATGCTTTCATTTTCAGCAACATATATCTTTTGTATGTCATAGGTTTTCTTGTTTGAGTGTGTGCAGGTTACAGACTTCAATGTTATGCATGGTGTTAATTTTATTAGTTGTCTATAATATTGTGATTAAGGGTTTTGTCTAGGAAATGCCAAATGGGGAGATTGTTAGGATAAAATTGGCTATTCCTAAACAAAACGCCTGAGTCTGTAATCTTAGACTAGTGCTTGTTTTCAGTTGTAATTATTTTAGTCTAAGTTTGTCTCACATGCTCTCGATCACAAAATGGTAAGCGTTTTCAAAGACATTCACTCAG